GGCACACACTCCGCCGCCACCCTAACATATATAGGGTATACAACGTTCCTACTTTATTTTTATGGTATTTTTAAAATTTTCTCTCTGCGTGTGAATATGTGTGAGCACACATGTCAACACACATAGTCAGAGACTATTTTAAGAGTTGGTTTACTCCTTCCATCACGAAGGCACTGTGGATCAATCATACTCAGCCCTTCAGGTTTGGGAACAACTGCCTTTATCTGGCGAGCCATCCCATCAGTCCCTACCTCTCTACTTTAAGTCTCTCTTGGTCTCCTTTGCTCTCAGACAAGAAGCGCAAAAATATTTCTGTGACGTAACGCCTGTATGCTCTCAGTCCCTGCCTACTCAAGCCTACCAACAACCCTTTGCTCTTGTAAATTTCTAAGTTCTCTGGCCCCCTGTTCAGTCTTTGAACACTTCCAGCTGTGTTTGATTTCTAGATCTTTCTACGAGGTGTTCCTTCTTATCCCACGCTATTCAATCCACCATCATAGACCTGCCTCCTTCCGCACACACATGTTTGCCCAGCTCTGGCTTATGTTTCAGCACTCAGCTTAAATGTCACCCCACCCCAAAGACGTCTCCAGGAATGACCATATCCTGCCCACAACCACTACCCTGGAAACTGTCCTTTTTGCATCCTGTTCTTCCCGGAGGCATCCCTCACAAGTGTGTGGTTTTACAAATGATTCCCAACAGTATTTATTTCTCATGGCAGCCCTGCTAACTCAGAGCTGTGCCAAACTTGTTCATCCCTTCACAAAGATCTCAGCATGCTGGTCAATGCATTGCCTCTTTGATAAAAGACACTGCTCTGAATTCTCATTTTTACAAATACATCCTCTTTCTATGTTTCTAGCTCGTGGAAATGGGTCTTGTAGCGGCATTAGAGCCTGTTACTCTTTTTGTCCCCATCCTTTAAAAAGTATCCATAATTTAAGATATTCATGATGACTCATGCCAGTAATCCCAATACTCAGGACACTGAGGCAAGAGGATCGGGAGTTTGAGGCCAGACTCTGCTATGTAGTGAGTTTGAGAGCAGACTATGCTTCCTAAGACCCTAACTACAAAAAAAGAGGGGGTGGGGATTTGTGAATTTAATACTCTACTCAGAATTAATTCTTAGATCCAGAAATCCTGAGCCTATTATTGGCTGTCTGCTAACAGTCACTATTAGCCAGTGCCTATGTAGTGTTGGTCCCCAAACCTAAAACTGGATTTCATTATTCTCCCCAACACACACACACACACCAAAAGAAATTCTCCATTTATCAATTACTCATCTACTGTCAAATGAGATCATGGTAGTTTCACCACACAGGACCTAGAGATGTCCCAAAGCAAAGATATAATTGAATAGTCTATACTGCTTCATCATGATCAGAGATACACAGTGCTCAGATGGATGGTCTCCAAATTCAATTCCCAAAGCCAGGAGCCTATTATTATTACTCCGTCATGAGCCTTAGAAGTCAGTAGAAATTCTAGAGAAGAAACCAAAGCCCATTTCAACCCACCCCTTTACCTCTGTCATGCATACACCACACACACACACACACACACACACACACACACACACACACGGTCACTACCTCCATATTTTGTAACACTTAGCTGTGATCAATACTACAAAATCTGTTTTTGTCAAAAGCAACATAATACAATCTTGTTTTGTGACTCGGAAGGTCTGAGAAACAAAAGGTAAGATGGCTAGAGATTTTCTGTTTCTCATTACAGTTTTTCTCTGCAGTTCTTGGAGAATAGTTTAATTTTCTATATATAATTTAACCCAGAATTAAGTGATGAGCCAAATAAGTTTACTTGAAAAACAGAATGAAATGACTTCTTTTAGCCAGCACCACCACATAACCATTTTGTAAAACTGCACCACCTTGTAATGACACATGCTTGGGAAGAAGGCAGCTTAGGAAGGAAGGCCGCCTCTGGCAGAACTCCCTCCTTTGCATCATTTACCCTTCATTAAATCATCAAGATCACAGATAGTTATTAAAATAGCCAACGCATGTAGTCCTTACAAATGTGCCAACCTGATGTCAACAAGGACTGAAAACCAAAGAGACCCTGAGCTATTTTCATACTCACATACTTCACACTAGAAAATGCACAATCAATCTTTTATTAAGCAGCTGCTGCTTTCTGGAAGTCAGCTTTTCATCACCTCCATTTGTAAGTCCCATTTTTCATCTGGCTCCTACTGACCGGAGCAGGCTCTTAAAAGCATGCCTCTTGAGAAAGGGTACAACCTCAATTTACAGACATATCCATGATTGTTTTGTTTTGTTTGCAGTCCTGGCGGTGCAGCCCAGGGTCTTCCACTGGACAAGCACTCTGCAACAGAGCTACATTCCCAGACAGCGGGAAATCATCCCATAGTCCACTTCTAGGAGCGAGCAAATAAAACATTCTCAAACATAACTTTAGAGACCATTTCTTAATTCCATACTCCAGGCTCTGACTACCTCCAGAAATGTTCTATATCTGCCATCCTGAGATAATAAAAACTCACCTTAAAGCATAATTAATGAGGAAATTTGGGGGTGTAGTTGGGTAGCAGGGAGTCAGTGGAGTCCTAAGGGAACATGTGTTGTCATGGGGGCCATGTCAAGGACCCCAGGGCCTCAGACCCATGACAATGGCAAGGCCTTCCCTCCCAGTTCATGTGTGGATGTTGATAGCATGTGTAGAAAATGTTTACCGTAGCTTTGTCTCCTCAGCCCAGATTTACAGCCTGAGGCTGCTTCGCTACTGAGCTGCACCCACCATGATTACCTAAACCTGTGTCCCTGACTCCACTGTTTGCCATAACCCTGACTCCTTATTCAACTGTATATAATAAACACACTGAGCTTTGGGATGCTGCAGCATCTCCACCAGAGGGTCCACACCAGCCAGTCAGAGCTCTCCTGTATGTGTCTGACCTTGCTTTATTCCCTCACCACCTCAGTCAGGTTCTCAAACCCAAGCCATGCAAAGATTCAGCAGTTCGAAATTAACATCTTAAGCTTGACATTCCAGATTTGAATCCTGGCTCGCATCTACCTGATTGTGTGACTTTTGGAAAGTCATTCAATCTCTGTAGGCTTCAGATTTCCTCATCTATTAAATGGGTGGTCTTATTTGACTCTGTCCTGGATTCCATGGTCTATTCTTACTTTGATTGCATACCTAATGTCCACAGCTGGGGAGCTCTTTGTTACTAATAGACATAGCTGTACAAATCTTCTTCTCAGACTGTCTTATTTTCTGTTTGTTTTTTGGAGTGTCTGTAGACTCGGAACTAACAGAACCAAAGTATAAGACAAGCAGTAAGCAAAATAGAGTCTGTCTGGTAAGTTTTCCCAGCCCAAGTGATACTAGGCATATAATGGTTCAGAATACTTAAAAATGGAAAAGATAGAAGAAACAAAAAATAATGTATCATGGTACGCAGAACAACAACCAACTTCAAATTTACAAATATTAAATGGGACTTCCCATTCAGTCCACAGTCAACCACTGGTGTCTGAAACTGTAACAAATAAGCTGACTGAGGGCAAAATATCGCGCTTACAAGGTCTCCAGGCTACCCACCAGTGATGCACTGGCGTGATCCCGATTGGGAACAAAGCATTGGTCTAGTCATTGAGTGCTTGGAGAAAGTGTCTGTTTACATTAGTGCCTTCATCCTGCCCCCTAAACTTCTCTCAACGAGAAACACTCTAGTGAAGGGATATTTACCAATGCTCTGATGGAGAAATTAATGCTGTGCAATTGTTAAAAGGCTTTTATTGCCATAATCATTGCCACAATAACTCTGGGACTCCTTATTTGCTGAGGCTTCCAGAAGCATTCACTGGAGAGGAGGAGGAGTGAGTCAGAAACAGCTACTGCCACTGTTAGGGAAGAAGGACGCAACTCAGGGCTGGTCATCTGAGGGTATGATCTCAATTCCCACAGCAAGGCACCAAATGGAGTTCAGGGGAGGATTCTGGGCCCAGCAAATATCTGGCATGTGGAACAATAAAAAGTGGCCAACACAGATGATTCTGCCAGAGAGGTGATGCCCACAGAGCCTCCACTTCCAAGGCACCAGGTAGGCTTTAACAAAACAAGTCCCATACCCCACTTCCTCATGGAAGCAAGGAATCTAACACGCTCTAAGATGAGGATGGTGACAGATCTGGAAATCACTGCCTTTATGGGAGGGCTCGGGAACAAAACCAACTTCTGAAAATAAAACTAGAAGTCCCGTCAAGGACTCGGTACCTGTAACTATCCCATTTTAGAGGACATTGGTTCACATCTAGGCCCTTGATTTGAAGAGTCTCTTTGTGAACTGTCAGAGCAAAGAAACAAGCTGACCCAGTGCAGAACTACAGCAGCCCAGGGCTCTCTGTAGCCAGCTGGTGAGTGGAATATGTCTGTCCTCACTGGTCCATGGGCATTGAAGACCCTGTGCCTCTCTAAGGAGCCCCCCAGACACACTTTAGCCCATGGTGTGCATCAAATGCAACATCTGGAATAAAACACACAAGGAAGAAGAAAGCTAAGGCTTCACACCAACATGACAGGTCTAAAACGATGACAACTGTCAACACAATTACACACACACACACACACACAAATAGGTCAGAAGCCCGACCGTCACCTCGTCTGTCTAACTTTACTGGCATATGTGCTCACAACCAGCCTGACCCGTATCCCTGCTCAGAATCGCCCTATCCTCCCAGTACACTGGGAAATGACAGCATCCTCTGCAGCCAGGTCCTGATGCTGAAGCAGGCTCCACATATTCTCACATGGAACCTAAGTAACTACGCTAATATTGAATACCAGAGATGGCTCCAGGAAATTAGGGGACTTGGTTAAATGGTGCAAATGCAACCTACGCGTAGGAGCAAAAACCCCAACCAAGTTAAGCTCGTAAAGCAGCAGCACTCTACTCGTCATGCAACAGGAAGCACAGAAATATAGAAGGTGTGGTACATTACCCAAAAGCCCCGCTAAAGACCGCATGTCCTTCTCCATCAGCATGTAAATCTCTTCCTCCGAGAAGCGGCCAATGCCGTGGCCGTGCATCTCCCGTTTCACAATTCCTTTTGTTATGTGGCACACGACCCACCTGAGCAGGTTACTGAAGGGACCACCACCACTAAGAGACAGCATCTTCCGGGTCTCATTGAGATTGTCCACCCACTGGCAATAAGCTAACGTCCTGGAATTGTGTGGAAACAAGTTACTACTGTGCACCAGAGATGTGTAGCTCTGCAGTCACTTTCAAAAGCATTGTTCAGAAGTTAGCACTTTCTGCAGGAACCAAACAATCGCAGCGTTTAACCCGGGGGGGCCTGGGGGGGGGCCGGCATTACAATAGCAGCTCTGGTCGATGTCTAGACTTACAAGCCTTGAGAGAATGACAGTGTCCCGCGTTCCTGTTTGACCAAATCTCCCCAGTCACCTGCCCCCAGCCTCCTCTGCTCTTCCTCTTATGCCAGTTCACAGAAGCCTTAGCTTCTCAACTGAGCTGGCAAGTACTATGGGAAGCACCGCAGTGGCAGCAGCAAGGGGGAAGAGGGCATCGCTCCCTCCTGGAGCTTAAGGAGGGCTCCACAGGCAAGGGCTCTGTGCTAAGTCGTGTGTTTCTATTCTCTATACTGCATGTATTTTACATTTCATGATGAAAGGGGTTCGGTTAGTTCTTAAGACACTTTTTTGCCTTTTGGATAAAGTTTAATGGGAAGGTACACCTATCTTTGTCGATATGTCATAAATTATATGCTGTGAACATGTAAATTATTTGCTCTCCAGAAAAATCAGCTCTCTCCCTCAGGGTGTTTCCAAAGATTTTTAGTATTCACCCAAGGAACTGTGGAGTCGCTTTTCTCATTGGGTGGCACTTGGGGCAAACTCACCCACAGACAGTCAAGCATCCTATTGGTTGCAAGGCCTGTACTTTTCCTTACTTGGTTTTAGAAACCTGTACAATCTCAAAAGTGCCTTTTTATAACTAACCATGTTGTCAGATATAAAGTAAAGGGTTCCCTCTGAAAAGAATAGAGCTGTGAGAATATACACATGAAATATTTTTTAATTGAAAAATGTACTGATCATTATATCTACCCCTGATGTGGGCTAATATTTAGTAGTGGCCTCTTAAAAAATCATAAATGTAAAAATAAATATTATTAGAAAAAACACAAAGGATGATAGTAAGTTGTAGCTAAAAAGAAATGTTATTTTATACATTAGGAAGAAAATGAGAGCTGGGCTGCATCTCAGTGGTATGTGTTGGCCCTGGTATCCATCCCTAGCACCACCAAAAAAAAAAGCCCTGAAATTTTTAGCATTTTTATGTAGTTATGTTCTATTGGGGTCTACTCAAATAAAAATGAAAATATACAAGAAATAGGTTGGGCTGGAGAGATGGCTCAGAGGTTAAGACCTCTGACTGCCTTCCAGAGGTCCTGAGTTCAATTCCCAGCAACTGCATGGTGACTCACAGTCATCTGTAATGAGATCTGGTGCCCTCTTCTGGCCAGCAAGCATACAGACAGACAAAACACTGTATACATAATAAATAAATGTTTTAAAAAAAATAGGTTTACCTAAAGTTTTTTAATCATCCTTGAATTTTTACTAAAAAGTCTTTATTTTAATGCCCTCTCCATACTACAGCCATATTTAACTCTTCCCTATTATCTTCTAAAAGGAATACCTACAATTCTTGTAGAAAGCTCTGTGTGTGTGTTTCATAAATCTCTCAAAATAAAGCATTGCAAAGTGAAGAACTGATTTTTGCTGAAAACAGGAAAAAGTATTTCACAGCAATATTTGACTGCTCATAGACAGTACAAGCGACAGGCCTTCTGATGTAAAATAACTATTCCACTGAATTCTACGCAAATGTGAATATTTATCTCTTTTTTTATACCTGCAATAATCTAGCGGTGGATTTCACATTCCATTAGAATAATAAGCACCGAATCATCGAAATTCACAACAGGGTTACACAATCTTTGATTGTCTGGAAACCCAACGGCCTTAGGAAAAAAATTAATTCTAAACTTAATACAGAGAGGTAATAACAGAACAGAGGAGGCGCCTGGAGCACAAACATAATGAAAGGAAGTTTTGTGACAGCCAGTCACACAAGTTAGATCCTGGGCAGAGCTGCAGGATGGACAGGCATGAGCCGAAGAGGTGCCGGCCTGAAGACTGACCTGCTGCACCCACAAGACGTCCAGGAGTGTGGGCTCCAGGGTGCGTGTGAAGAAATCGGCAAGGCCTGTGGCAGAAGGGTGCTACGGAGCAGATCACCGCAGAGCCAGGCTTAATCGCTAAGCATGGGAAACTTCAGCCCGACAAAAAACATCATCAGACCTGTGGCAGTGCTGGGAGGAAGGCTGGCTAGAAGACAGGCTGTGGGAGGCAGGCAAGAAATGAGGCGCTGACTAGACCAGGACAGAGATACCGAGGCAGAAGAGTCCAGTAACTGACGGATATGGAGGGAAAGTGGGTGGTTTTCTCCCAGACTAATCATTTGAATGGATTTCACTAATTGGGGCTGGATTATAAAGGGCAGAATGAATTTGGGGAAGGAGAGATAGGTTCCCTACTTGCAATTGAGGGTCCCAAAGAGCCGCCAACTGAAGACATCCAGAAAGTAGAAAAAACTCAGGAGAAGAGTTCAGACTTTCCATGGAGAACTGGTAGGCAGGGACATGTTAGCAAGTTTTAAAACTGTGAGGGGAATTTTTCCTGTTATCCAAGGAAATTTCTAGAATAAGGACAATGTCAGGAAGACCATAGCTCAAAGATAAGAAAGTGAGGCTGGAAGAGGGTGTGGAGAGGAGAGAAATCTCATTTTCCAAGAAGGGTGGGGGAGGCGGATGAGGGTCTTATAAAGGATACAGGGCTACAGAGGTTAAGCTTCCTGCCCTGTGATGACTTCTCTTTTCTCTCCAGAGAAGGAAGCGTGCATGTGGGCATGTGCAGGAAGTAAGATATGACAATGGGTACAGAACAGCAGGTAGCAGTAAAGGCAGCTGTCGGGCCACACAGCAGGGATGACAGGAAGTCAAAGATGTTAGGTTCTTGCCCTGCTATTGCAGCTTGAAAACATGGTACAGAAGAAGAAACACTGCACTCAGTTAGAACTCTGCCCTAAAAGTAACCTTGCAAACTGGTCTTTCTCTCTTTCTGTTCTGCATGCATGCATGCATGTGTGCACGCATGTGCGCATGCCTACCCATTTGCATGTTCACTATGTATACAAGTGAACATATTATGAGGGCACATGAGCGCATATGTGCGCGTGAGTGTGGAGGCTGGAGGTTCCTCAGGTTCTGCCCTACAATTTTTTATTTAGGCAGGGTCTCTACCAACCTAGAACTTACCAGCTATAGCTAGGCTAGCTGGCCAGTAAGGCCCAGAACCTTTCCAGCAGTGAGATTATGAGCATACACCACCACACCTGATTTTCTGTCGGGGAGCAGTGCGGGCAGTACACTCTATGTGTGCATGCGCCCTAAGAAACCAGAAGATAGCCTGTAGCTGGAGTTACAGGTGGCTGCTAGCTGCCTTCTGTGGACACTAGGAACAGAACTCAACTCCACTGGAAGAACCGCAAATATTCTTAAGCACTAAACCATCTCTCCAGTCCCCAAACTCATTGTTTTTAAAACATGTCTCTCCAGTCCCCAAACTCATCATTTTTAAAACATGGGTTGTGTAAATAAACCTCGGGTCCTCACTCCTGCATCGCCCTGCAGGTACTGCAGTAAATGACTATCTCCCCTGCACCTGCTTGTATTTGGTTTCTCTGCTTCTCTACTGCCCCCATTCCAGACCAGGGTCAAAGAAGGACCCCACAGGCTTGTTAGGGATCAACTCCAACCAAGTGTCAAAAGTACCAAAAGAAGAAACAATGTGTGAATCGCATGCTCTTAGCTCAGCTATGACAAGCAGGGGACATCATGTTTTGTGTTTCCAAGGCATTACAGTTAAGGACACATCTCTCAGCCAGGATTTCAGAAATAGTGAGAGATCCCACCCCATCCCTCCATCCAAACAACTCTCATCCAATCCAGCAGCCAACAACTTGCTGTATGCCCTCCAGAACCTCTTCTCTGAACGTAGCTCTCACAAACCTACCGCATCGGGCCCAATTAGCCTCTCTGGGAACTTACCTTTAGCTCATGCGCTGTTTTCCCTCCCATTTTTCCCATGGTCCAAAGACTTATCTATTTACTCTTCCTCTGTTCTTCTAGCTACTTAATCTACAGTCATGAGGTGATCTAACTCATACCAGCAACTCAAAGGGATGCCCAAATCTATACCTAACCCAGACCTCTCTGTCCTGAGACCCAGGAGTCCCACACAGGAGACCCTCAGGAAATGCAAACTACATTTCCAAAATTGGACTCATTTTTTTTGCTTGCTTCACCTCACCCTCGAAGAATCCCAGGAGTCACTCGTCAGGAATTCCAGGAGATTTTCTCCATGGCTCCAACCCAGGTGTGCCTAACATTCGCTCACAGGCCAACACGTTGGTAGATTACATAATTTTGCAATGTCAGAAACCCCTGGACCCTCACCAAGGTCTGGCCCTTCCCAGTCTCCGTCTCTCAATATGGCCTCCCATAAACCCTTCAGATCGACTGTACAGAAGTACATGGACCTCCCCTCCCCGCTACAGACTGAACGTTCATGTCCCCAAATTTCTTATATTGAAACAAGTCTGGTGGTATTAGGAAGCAGGGCCTTTGGGGTACTTAAGTCATGAGGACAGTGTTCTCAAGAGTGAGATTACTGCCTTTATAAAAAGGACCCCATAGAGTTTTTATATCCTTTCTGTCAAGCGATCTTACAATAAGAAAATGGTTATGTGTGGACCAGAAAGCAGGCCCTCACTAAACACTGAGTCTGCCAAAACCTTGGCCTCAGGCTAACTGGTCTCCGTGACTCTTGAGATATAAACTTCTGAACTTCCCAGACTGCTCTTCAGTGACGGGAGCCTGGATGGACTGAGACACTCCCCAAACCCCGGTTTCTTGGCTCCAAGTATTTACAGACACTGCCGCCTCTACCCGAATATCCTAACCGCCCTTACCACCGGCTCCTTCACCTGCCACTCCAGTTGTCCTTGGCACTACCACACTGCCACTTCCTCTGGGATCCTTGCCTTCATCTCACCAGCAGGTGCTTACTGCCCCCCCTCCGCTCCTCAAGCTCTCCCTCCCCCAGCAGTGACAATTCTGGAGGCTTAAGGACAGCTTTCTCCATAAAGGCTCCTGCCAGCCTGAGATCCACTTGGGGGTTGGAGCATGGAATCCGTACGCTATAGTGGTCATTCACTTCATTGGCCGAAGCATGAATTGTTGATTGAACGAAAACCAACTTTAACTGAACCAGTGCTGGCTATGTGATGTTTCTGAGGGAGGACATGTACTTAGGAAAAAGAGAGAGAAGGATCCATGAGGAAGATGAAGTGACTGGCACCGGTGTCTACACCTTTATCTCCACTGGGAAGAAGCCCAGTGCACCAGGAGTCCTGAATTATTAACCGGAGTCAGAAGGCAGGGTCAACTGGGAAAGCAGAGTAGCGTAAGCAATTAGAGAACTTTATCATGGGAAAATCTATTCCAGAAAGTTAAGATCCTCGTTTTCCTCAGCACAACTAATGGGTCTAATCTTGCTGTCAAGAATGGGGTCAAAGATTTAAAGATACTTGCTCAAACGTTTCTAAAGGAAACCAAGAAAACAGGCAAAAGGCCAAGCAAGCATCATCACCCATGCCCATGCCCAGCACCTGGGAAGCTGAGGCAGAGGGATTTTGAGTTTATATAACTCACTAGACTACATAACACGTCTGTGTCAAGGAGACCAAAACGTCAGGGTGGAGAAAAGGAGGAAAAGAACGGGGCAAAACCATTGATCCCTGATTGGTTTGGTTTGGTTTTGATTTGATTTTTAGTACAGAATCAAACTCAATACCTTGTGCCTGCTAAGCTGGTGCTCAACCTCTGAGCTATATCCCCACCTACCATAACCTGCCATGAAGTCAGGCCCAAGGCATAAATGAATACTACTATATAGAAAGTTACAAACTACTGAGTTGAGAGCATGGTCTTCCAAGCTATAAGAATGCCTTTCACTGCCAGGCATGGTGGACTAATGCCAGCACTCAGAAGGCAGGGGTGGGTGGATCTCTATGAGTTCCCAGCTAGCCAAGATAATACAGTGAGACCCTATCTCAAAAATAAATAAATAAACAAATAAATAAAATAAGCCTCTCTTTCCATGGGGCTATACCCTTGCTGCCTTTTATTTATATTCTATTATACAGGGGTAGAAACTTAATGATATATTTTTTCCACTGTCCTCAAATCTCACAAACCATCCAAACAGCAGCACTCCCTACAGTTAAAATTGGGTAAGAAAAAAGTGGAATGAATCTGTGCCATCATAATCTGCCATCGTGTTCAGGCTTCCTGTAAACCATCTTATGCAGGTTCCCCATCTCCCTCGGATACTAAAATCACACCAAAAGCCAAGTTCAGGCTGGAGATGGCCTTCAGCACTGGAGTTCTGGCCTACTATGCACACGGTCCTGGCTTCAATACCAGTGCCAAAAGACACTGAAACTTAAAATTCACAAATTATGGGAACCTAGAAGCAGATTTGTATCACTGAAAATGCTGAGGGCTGTACTTATTATATAGGGTTAGACGCCTCGCCTCTTAAGGTCGTCTCTGATGGCCACAAGGGGGCAGTATGTATCACCGAAGAAGCAAGGGTATTACAAAAATCAATTTCGTTCTGGTAATTTGATTCTCTGTCTCAGAAAACCTCTTATACCAGTTTCCAAGCATTGGATCTAACTTAAGCACTCAGTATAAAACAAAGGAGATAAGAAAGAAAGAAAAAAAGGCCTTCTTCGTCTTCAATAATAGCTTTTATAATGCAAGTGGGATATAATTATATAGATTTCAAGTGCAAGAGAAACAGCTTTAGAGCTGACTGTGCTTATCTGAACAGACCAAAAACATAGCTTCGAAATTATGTCACATTACGTAACAATGCCAGATTTCCGCCACCTCTGTCTTGCAGAAAAATTGTATCTAAACATTTTTAAAGTTTTGAGCCAAAATAAAATATACCTTAAAAACAAACCTCAGATGATCAAATAGCTGAGCCAAGCACCAAGGGTTTTACTGACTCTGCCCTCCCACCTCCGTAAGAACAGGAGCTCAACGCTTGTTTTTGTTTTTTTGTTTTTTTTTTTTTTTTGGTTTTTTTTTTTTTTTTTGGTTTTTCGAGACAGAGTTTCTCTGTGGCTTTGGAGCCTGTCCTGGAACTAGCTCTGTAGACCAGGCTGGTCTCAAACTCACAGAGATCTGCCTGCCTCTGCCTACCGAGTGCTGGGATTAAAGGTATGCGCCACCATCGCCCGGCTGCTCAATGCTTGTTAACGTGTAAGAGGATCTCACAGAAAATCCCATACGCTGAGGGCAGCTCCTGTACAGCTTCCACTCTGCTCTCTGAGATGGGTAGAGCAAGACAGGAGAAGGGCCAGTCCAGGGATTCGTGGTTTAGACATTCTTGTGAGAGAGGGGATACAAAGCTCCCCAGTGGGTGTGGGGGAATCTCTACAGGAAGGAATGGGGGGAGGAAATGAAACAGGACAAAGATTTGTTTTCCTTTTGCTACTACACATGGATATATATTATATCTCAAAATGCCCCCAAATTTTTCTAGTAGAAAGCGAATTCGAGAAGCAATGCTGGCCTTCAAGGAGGCTGTGTACCACCCAAGCGTAGTAAGCTCTTGGACGTTAATGATCTTCCTCCTGCCCCTCCTGGCTCACATCCACAGCTCCCTCTACCTCCCATATTAGCAAAGGGCTAGTGAAGAGAAGAACAGAAACATGCCATCTGTGAGCTCCTACCAGAGAATAAAGTAGTAATAAAAATAATAGAACACTGTCAAAAGGTCAGGCTCCTCATTTCCCTCTGCCACTGCAGAGCCAGGTCTGAAACCTGGCAAACAAACGGCATGGGATCCTTTCCAAAAGCCTTTCCCAGAAGCCAAGCAAGCCGGACCGTCATGCATCTTAATGCCCACTGTGACAAAGCAGACCTGGCATCTCCACCAGCATTACATGAAAGGACCCAGGCTCCTGCCAACACTAAATCTGCTCTCTTCCACACTGCTGTGTCTACACTCTCCCACAAGACACCTCCCTGGTCAGCCGTCCTTCATCCTCACAGTGGGGTGGGGAGAGAATGTGGAATACATCAGCCCTGGGATAAACAGAGTTTTAAGAAAACCAAACATAGGAAGAGAAAAATAGAGGTTCGTTTAAAATCTCGGAGATAGGAACTTCCAGTTTTCTACTTATAAAGAAGGTAAATCGATGAAATAGTGCTCCAGCGAGGAAGAATTGCACAGCCAGTCCCAGGAAGAGATGGCCACGATCGGAGAAAGTGATTAGTAAAAGCTCCTAGGCCAACATCTGGCCAAGAAATAGCAATGCTAATAAAGTAGAATTAAAGATGTTTAATTAAGTATCGAGGACACAGTAAAAGTCTGCAAATATTTGGAAGAGACCTCCTGTCAACTCTAGGAGTATAGAGAAGGGGTGAAGTGCCAGAAACTAGATGTAAGGGGGGAAGACCACAAGACAAATAGGTTTGCAAAGCAAAACTAGCCAAATGGGATCGATTCACATGGTGCTGGTGCTGAAGTAGCTCGGGGCCACCAAAGCAAAACAGAGCAAATGGTCAACACAACTATATGATGCTTCAAATTTATGTGATGCTTCAAACTTGGGGAGTATGAACTACGAAATGCAGCAAGCAGGGAAGAAGGCTATCTAAGGAAAGGTGACATTATCTCAGAAATGTGATAATTTCACTGAGGAGTCCAATCTCTACTTAGCCTTCTATGCCTTCCTCTGGTGTCTGATGCTCTTTCTTTCTTTCTTTCCTTTTCTTTTCTTTTCTTTCCTCTTTTCTTCTTTTTTTTTCTTTTTAGACAGAGTTTCTTTGTGTAGTCCTGGCTGTCCTGGGACTCACTCTATAGACCAAGTTGCTCTCAAACTCACAGAGATCCACCTGCCTCTGCCTCCTGAGTGCTAGGATTAAAGGCGTCTGATGCACTGTCGTTATTCAGAAGGTTGTACTAATGAGCCCCACAAATTAAAATATCCACCTCACCTAAAATCCAGCAGGCTGTGAAGGTTTTGCATGTGTATGTGGTTGGGAAAATATCAAAGGAAGATTGTGTTAATACAAATGAAATCTAAGTTTCAATGTACATGACAGATTTACTGAAATGCAGTCTGCTTATAAACCTCCAGGCCTTTGGCAGAGCTGAGTGGCTGTAGCTGTGGAAGAAGGGCTCTAGAGAATACCTATGGAGTCCCAGTGTACTTAGAGACAACAGAGAGAACTCTGACCCTAAGTCAAAGTTGTTTCTGATAAAAAAAACCTTTGAGAAAGGTAAGTAAAATGTAGCCAAAAAAAAAAAAAAATGAGAAGGTGCGTGTCAGAAAACCCAAGAGGTTTTGGGCTAGCTGGGGGAGAGCAGGGACACACAGCAGGGACTCACCAATAGAAGTGCTCTTCCACCATCTTGGTGACGGCTCTTGAGACGGCTCTTTCATGAGGGCCAAGGTTTTTGTTTAAGTTCACGCCAAGTTTCTCTTCCAGAAAGTCGATTATGAATTCTGTGCCAGACACTTTTTCATTGTTATATTCAATCCAAGGCATTTTCCCTTGAGCAGAGAGCTTTCCACCAAAATAGTTCTGGATAGCATTTTTTTTTTTAAGAGAAAAGCAATGTGTTTATGAATTTCCCCGCTTAGCAGAGACAAACATCCCAACCCGTGAGTGTTTGTGCCCGTACTATCTACTCAAACGAGCTCAGCACATTAACTCTTTAAGATCATTACTCTAGGAGGAGAGAAGAAGAGCCTTTTGCTGAACATCAAAATATTAATTTATTCCCATAGGTTCTAATATGAACTCAAATTCTATCTAGACTAGGGGAGTTAGGGAACTCTGAAGCACTGCAGTGTCTCCTAAAGGAAATTCAGCAGGTTCCTGGTTTTCAGCCCAAACCTTTCATTTTTAGTCCTTGGGGTGGTACCCAGAATCTGTCCAGACAAGCTCCATTCTGATCTATAACGGTATTAGAAGCTTACAGTATCTCAGAATATCTTGATCCAGAAAGGAGGTAGCTAGATCAAGTCACACAATTAATTGTTAAAATTACAGTAACGTGTGTTCTCTAATGTATAAAAAGCAAAGACCTGGACCACATGAATGAGGGGATCCTGGAGAATTTCATGTCTTCAATCATATTTCTCAATAAATAAAGTCATTTAAGCCTCAAAGTTGATTGTCAGAACCGTATCCACTGTTTTGCAGACTACACATCCTAAATTAATCTAATTGCCATAAACTCTTCCTCATACCTTGTACAAATAGGTAATGCAAACCCTGTAATGTAACATATTGGCAGATGTTAGCCCCTCTGAGAAAACAGGTACTCAACTACATGGCAGGGATGTTAAATGGCCAACCACTTAAAAACCTCTGATGAAGTTAATCACACACCTCTCTTCACCTTTTTTTTTTAAAATGTACTTATTATTTCATGTGTATAAGTGTTTGCCTGCATGTATGTCTGCACCCCATGCATGCCTGGTGCCAGTAGAAGCAAAAGACATCATTAGATCCCTGGAAGTAAAATTACAGACAGCTGTGAGCCTTCATGTGGGTGCTGGAAACTGAACCAGGATCCTCTGGAAGAGAAGTGTTAACTCAACTAAAAAGCCATCCCTCCAGCCCCCTACAACTTTCTTCTAATTAAGCCAGTTTACCCCTAAGTATTTACCCAAAAGTCAGAAAGCATATAGCCATGCAAAGACATCTGAACAAAAGTTTGGGTGGAGAGATGTTTCTGTAGTTAAGAAAATGTAGTGTTCTTCCAGAGGACCTGGAATTTGGTTCTCACTGACTATAGCAGGTGGCTCACAATCCACCTGTAACACTATGCACATAGACATAAATCAAAATAAAATAAATATTTTAAAATGCACAAACATTTTTAATGATCAAAAACAGGAAACATGTTATTCAGAGGCAAATTAATAGACAAGTCTACAGACATACAATGGATTATCACTCTTGGAAAAAGAAAGAAAATGAACTACTTATACACAAATAATATAGATAAACTGTTAAGTAATTTTGTGAGTAGAATTAGCCAGACTTAAAAGGACTACACAGGGCTGGGAAGACAGCTCAGTCAGTAAACTACTTGCCTTGCAAGCATAAGGATCTGCATTCAAGCCACAAAATCCACACGGAACACCAAAGTGGAACTGGCAAGTGATCTCAGCACTGGGCAGGCAGAGACAAGCAGAATCCTGGGGTTTGCTATCCCGTCAGCCTGGTCAAAATCATGAACTCTGTGCTGGTTTAAATGGAGCTCTGGTGTTTGACTTAGAGCAGGTGTGCCATTCGGGGATGGCTGTCTCTGCCTCCCCCCTCTCCTGCATGCTCTCTGGGGATCAGCATATAATGTTCACAGTTACTGCTCCAAAACCATGTCTGCCTCCTTCCTGCCATGATGATCATGGACTAACCCTCTAATACTATATCCAAGCCCAATTAAACACTTTCTTTTATAAGGGTTGCTGTCGTCCAGGGACACTTGCTTAACTATGTTCACAGAAGCATTATTCGCAATAGTCAGAACCTGGAAACAACCTAGATGTCCCTCATCTGATGAATGGATAAGGAAAATGTGGTACATTTACACAATGGAGTATTACTCAGCTGAAAAAAATCAAACAAAAAAAATGACCTCCTGAAGTTTGCAGGCAAATGGATGAAACTAGAAAAAGGCATTCTGAGTGAGGTAGCCCAGACCCAGAAATACAAACATGGTATGTGTTCACTCATAACTGGATATTAGGAATAAAGTATAGGATAACCAACCTACAATCCACAGCCCCAGAGAGGCTGGATAACTAGGAGTGCCCAAAAAGGTATGCAAGGATTTCCCTTGGAAGGGGAAAAAGAAGAGCTCTCCTTAGAAAATGAGAGGCCAGGGTTGGGGGTTGCGGGGGGGCGGGGGACTTGGGTCGCAGGTAGGATGCAGGAGGCAGGTTGCAGGCAGGTTGGAGGGGAGAGTCAGGAAAGAGACTTCTTGATGGGGAGCCCATTTAGGGGTTAGGGGAAAACCTGATACCAGGGAAACCCTAGGGATCCACAAGGATGACCCCAGCTAAGACTCTTAGTGGAGAGAGTGCCTATAATCTACTGTAATCAGATGGGTGACTACGCTAATTGTCATCAGAGGGCCTTTATCCCGTAATGAAAACAGATGCAGAAATCCACAGCCAAGCCCAGCTCTGGGAGTTCTGAAGAAACGGGAGGAGGGATTGTATGAGCCAAGCAGGGCAAGGTCATGCCAGGGAGTGGGGGGCACAGAGACAGCTGACCTGTTCTCATGGGAGTTCGTGGACTCTGAACCAATAGTTAGGGAGCCTGCATGGGACCGACCTAGGCCCTCTTCATGTGTGTGAGGGTTGTGTAGCTTGGTCTCTTTGTAAGGCTCCTAGAAGTGAGATCAGGAGCTTAGCTGAGGCTTAGCTGGCTTTGGTAACCTGTTTCCCATTCTGATTGCCTTGTCCAGCCTTATATAGAGGGGGGAGCTTGGTCCTGCCTCAACTTTGTGCCACGCTTTGTTCAAGCCCTCAGGAGGCCTGCCACTTTCTGAATGGAGAGGGAAGAGGAGTGGGTGAGGAGCAGGTGGGAGTGGGGAGGGAACGGGAGGAAAAGAGAGGGGGAAAACTCTAGTTAGGATGTAAAATAAATGAAAAAATGTTAATTAAATAAAAGGAAAAAAAAGAGTTGTCATGGTCATGGTGTCTCTTCACAGCAGTAAGACAACTCCAAGTCAGTAGGAGACCACATCTCAAAACTTAAGATAGACAGCAATGGAGGAAAACCTATCATGGCTTCTACAGGCCACACGCAAACAGGCACACACATGCTGGGGGTGCAGATCTTTAATCCCAGCACTAGAGAGGCAGAAACAGACAGATTTCTGTGAGTTCCAAGCCAGCACACATACAAAAGAAGTACATTGTAAATTATTCTTCTGAAACTCTAGAAAGTATAAACTAATCTCCAGTGACAGAAGATCTTTCCATGGTTGTTGAGGACAATGAAGGATGGGAGGAAGCAAACTTCCAAGAGGAAGATGAAAATTTGAGAAGAATAATCCTTTCACTCTGTTTAGTTTTGAAAAACAGTCTCGTGTAGCCCAGGCTAGCCTTGAATTCATTGTGTAGTTAAGACTGGCCTTGATCTCCCAGTCCTTCTGCTTCCGGCCCTAAACGCTAGGATGAGAGGTTTGCACCACCACCTGGCTGGTCCCCTCACTCCTGACTGTGACAAAGCTTTCGTAAGTACTTCCCTGGTTAAAAAAGAAAAAGAGTTATCAACACTCTTGAAATGTGCAACTTTTTGCGTGTCAATTTTAGCTATATAAAGTTGTGCGGTTTTTCTTTTAAGACAAGACAGTATTAGATGGAATTTGGGATCTATCAGTCCTGAATATCTTTAAATGTGTCTCTAGAGATCAGCAAAACCTTCCCATAAAAAGCCATATAGTACATTCTTAAGGCCGTAAAGTCTACCAAGAGTGCAACACCGCAGCAGACGCAGAAGAGCAGGCATGGGTCACCACAAGAGGACAACTCAGGACATTGAAATCTGAGCTTCATGTATTGGTGTGGGATGTCCTGTATAAGTGTTGCTTTTATTGGGTAATGAATAAAGGTTTTTTTTGCCAATGGCTTAGGAAGAATAAAGCCAGGCAGGACACAGAGAGAGGATGCAGAGTCAAGGAGACACCATGTGCCTGCCGATGAAGAAAGACACCCAGAACCTTTCTGGTAGGCCACAGCCTCGAGGTGATATATAGATTAATAGAAATGGGTTATTTTAAGATATAAGAGTTACTTAATAAGAAGTTTGAGTTAATAGGCCAAACAGTATTGTAATTAATATAGTTTCTGGGTGATTATTTGGGTCTTGGTGGACAGGAACAAAAGAGCAGTTTCTGATTACAATGTACAACAAAATATTTATTTATTCCCCCTCAAGTATTTAAATATGTATAAAGGTTTCTTCCTTCGCAGGCCTGATATGACAGCCCCTGCTGCAAAGACTGACAGCTACCCACCTTCTCTGCTGGAGAAAACAAACTAAAACTAAGGCAGCATTCAGACCAAACCCTAGACAAGAAGACACCTTTTTATTTTTTTTATTGCATTAGTGTTTATTTTTTTTGATGTTTTTATTTATTTATTTGTTAAAAGTGTCTGCTTCCTCCCCGTTTCCCATTTCCCTCCCCCTCCTCCCACACATCTCCCCCTCCCCCCAAGAAGACACCTTTTTGCAAAGGTGTATTATATCAGAAAATTCTAGAAAAGCACTAGCCAACTCTCCCTAGTAATCCCAAAACTTCAAAAATTTCAGAACACAAAACAAAATAAAAATACTAAAGTTTGGTTATGGAGGGCCATTGGGATTAAGACCCAAATGTTAGAGAAGACCAGAACAGACAGTGTCTTCTGCATAGGATAGGATAGGACCACAGTGCTCACCAATGCACCACAGCTGTGCTTGCGTGCACAGGACCTGTAGAAGACACGTCAGTCAACTGCAGCACAGTGGGAGTAGAGGCTGATGGAAAGAGCCACGGGGGATGGCGGAAGGTGAGG